TTTACATTTCGTGAGATATAATAAATGATATTTGGGTGGCAAAAGTCAACAATATAAAGTTAGACGAAAACGATTTAAAAGTTTGAAAGCAAGGGAGGAATTCCTTAGATACGACTATTCTAAATTCCGTTATCTGAAAAGTGAACAGTTTAAGATGTCCTCTTTGACTTGCATAACACTTCATACCCTAACAGCAAATGTTTCCAATTGAACTTTCAACTACAAACTTCATTCCAAGCTCGACATCCCTGGTGCATCGAGCAATAAAGACGTTGACAGTTTGCCTTGAGATATCAATGCGTTGTCTTGTATGCCGTTACAGAGAGATAAAAAAACTGCATATCCTTCGGGCATCAACTTTAACTGACTTTCACAATCATCCCATGAGAACCTGGCGAGAGTCTCTAGAAACGGTAATTAATGGTGTAGAGATAAGAGAGGACCCACAGTCTAATTACCGCTGAGGGCCATACGACACTACTGCATGTAATTTACTGTGTTTCTAGAAGAGATAACAAAGCAGCATTGGACTAGGCCTCTGGATAGAATTGATGAGGATGCATTCGGGTTAGCTTTAGGATTAAAACCAATGGTGTCTCCGTCACGTGACTAGGCAAATTTCCTGATCTGCCGCATCATCTCTTGACGCTTTTATTACTTCCGCCTCACTTTTTATTTCCGGTTTATACCGCGTGACATTTACTTCCGCTTCCATCTTTATGCTTCCTTACAGAATAGCAAAGACTCCCCTGAAAGAAGCAATTTCCTCAACGGTAACAAGTGATTGTATTTTTTTTTAAACTGGTTTCTGTCATAACTGAGAGTGATCTTATATGCTATGCCCCAAGTGTCGAATTTTCTCCAACTGTCGTACCACCCATTTGTTCTAGACTTCATTCAATCCAATCTTGAAATGTCTCGAGGCTCTTCGCTATGTAAACAACTAGAATAAACATAGAAAGTCAATGCTTGTCATAGAAGATATTTCTAGTACTATTCTAGTTTTAGAAAACGGATTAAACATAAGATCTTAGTGATTGATTCGAGAGCAAGATGAGAGAGATAGAGAAATTGCAATCCTTTTAACGTTGTTTAATGGAATGAGAATAATAGTGATCCTTTAGAATAATAATAAATTAATGGAGATTAGACAACAGGAAACGTGGTTGATCGATAAAAACAAAAATTTGCGATGAGCAAGCTTAATGTATAAAAAATGAAGACGTAAAGATTACACCACTAAACACATATATAACATTGGAATAATGTAATTTAAAAAACTTTTTAAAAATTAAGAAAAATTATTTTTAAAAAATTCTTAAAATATAGCTTTATTTATATATGAGCTACATATTACGATACAGAAATATCAATCAGAAGGAAAATAACAAAGAAATAAAAATCGTAGTAGAAAACATCGACAGAAAAAAAATCATTAGATGGAAAGAAAACGTTGAATAGAAAAAATAGAAGAATCATAAATTATATGAATTAGATTAGTAAAAAAATATAAAAATATAAATTTTATAACAAAAATACAAAAAACAAATAATGGAAAATTTATTTTTATTCTATTTTTATTTTTATTTTTTCGCAACACTTTGATATCATATTTCAGATAAGTTTAACTATTTTTCCAATTTTCTCTTAATGTCTATAGAAGATGGTTTATATCATCAATTTTAAGGATTTTTATGTCAAGATAAGGAATCAAACAGTTGACCTTATACGTTTGATATATCGGTAATGTTAACTTGATTGAATACTTCAGCAAAATTGGGATCAGACACAATTTTCAGTCGAGAAAAATTAATACCTTTAATTTATAGTCTATTGAGTGTGAGAAAATAAGGCTTCTCATATAAACTATATTTATCATCTAAAATAAGAAAAGATGCTGGAGAGAACGTTTTAAAGATTTAAGTTTTAAATTTTTTTCCGTCTTAAATAAACAGCTGGGAAGTTGTTATAATTACAAAATATTGGAGATTGTTACATTGTTTAGATAGATACCCACGAAGATAGGAGTGATGGCGATTGAAAGACTTATGACTGATGTTTTTAATATGAGTTATCATCTTAGATAACGATTAATCTTCGTCATTATCCACTTCGAAAAGGTGAATTCGTGTTCATGAGGAGGAAAAGCGAACAAAGAAAACGGACCACAGACAAAGCCTCCTGTATGGATGTAAAAATTGATATAAATGGCCTCTCAAAGAAAATCGAAATCTAAGAATTGATGGTAAACGTATGCGATTTTTCGTAATAATTACCTGATGTATGTTATGTATTGATCACTTACTTTAAGTGGATGAAGACAACTCTATTTAATTATACCTAAATAATATATTATTTTAAGAATAAGGAATAAATTACTAGAATCGATCATTCTGAATTTATTATAAGTATTTTAAATGTAATGCAGTTCATTCATTATAATTTTAACACTATCTCTTACTTCAAGAGAATTGTACGGTCCATCAAAGCTGATAAAAATCTTAATTTTAAAGCATGTAATTCTTTAAAAGTTTATCATTATTTTTTTTCAATATCTGCTTCTTATTTATAGATATTTATAGATTTTATAATTAGATATATTAAAGTAAATATGATCTTTTTTAACATCTTGATGATAATATTTGATATAGGATCGATCTTGTAATAGTAAAAGCTACTATCTTAAATCTTTGGCTTATCACTTTACTAAATTATATAAAGTTTTTCCTAAATTATGTATTATACAAATGAATAATATAAAAAATAATAACTTTACTTAGATTATTTGTGAAATTTAAACATAAAACTAAAAATATTTAATTAAATTTAACTTTAAGTAAGTTTAAATTTTATTAAAAATGTTTTTATTAAATAAAATTTTATAAATTAAAAATAAATAAATAAATTTTATTTGAGAGATATAAATTAAAAAAATTAAAAAAAATGTAGAGGTGAAGCAAAAATAATTTTCTTAAAAAACTAATAAAAAAAGATGGTTTTTAGGTGTTATATAAGGATGAATATTTTATTTAATATAAAAATAGAAATTCTTTTAAACTTCCGGAGAGAAAATTGAGCAGAGAAAATCAGGAAGAGAAAAAAAGCAAAATATCAAGATAATTAAGCTTTTCTTTATATAATTTCTTTTAAGTTTTTGGATATTGTTATAAAGTATTTAAAAAAATCAATTTTATACGGCGCACTCTAATTTAATTAATGCCTTATTTCTATTTTTAAAATCAAGTTCAGAAGATGGTTTTTAAAGTAAAAAATTGGATAAAAAGTTGGAAAATCTTACCATATAACTTAGTGTAGAACATCTTAAATTTTTAAGACGATACATCAAGAGTTTATTCACTTTAGAAACTACAATAAAGTATATTTTTATGTTTTGCCATGTAATAATAAAAATCTGTCCTATATTTTTTCAATTAACCTAGTTTTGTTAAGAACATAGCTTTAACAAGACTAAGCAGTTTGTATCATTAATTATATTGATTTAGACTAATGATTATTTTGCAAAGTTTGACAATAAGTAGATTGTAACAAATAATACAAAAGCGCAACGTCGTTACTGGATTTAAACATTAGATCGAGTATACGTTACACAAGACATTAATTTCCGAGGAGACGATGATCAATGCGTTACGATACAAACATTGATGCTTCTTGTAATTAATTTAGAAAACATGCAAATGAAGTAGCCCCTAATCGCACATAATTAGTTTGATGAGAAAAGTCGTAGACGTATTTGCAAATCCCAGGAGAGAAGAGATACGTCATGCCTGGGATGCTGTAGAAACTTCCTACTCATCTATAGTCAAGAATAATTATAAAACTTTTGACAATGAAGAAATCAAATGATAAATGGTTACAACTTTAATTAAAAAAAGATAAAAAAAATTTTTTTCTTCTTTTTCTTTTTATCTAGCATCCTAAATCGATACTTGTATTTATTTGTTTCTTTGAATTGCTCCAACTAATGGAGATAAATCAAAGCTTTTTTTACGTTAGAGAGGATCGCATTTCCCATTTTCAATAGATTTTCTTTGATAATGGATAAAGTAAAGATTCTCCTTTAAGGATAATTGACTAACACGACTTTTTATTAAACGAAAAGTTTCTAAATCCGTAATCTTCTTGTTTGGATCTTCGGATAAAAAGCGTTAATATGCTAAAGTAGAAACTTAAAAAGTTAACGGGTTATTGTTCTTTGTTTCATTATGATACCGAAAACTTTTCTCTTTTTTTATAATCTCATTCGTTGCTAAATTTAATCCTCGCTGTCTTTTTAGTAATTCCATGACGTGTTTATCTATGTTTCCGGACCAATAGATCTTGCAAGAGAAAGCTGGTATTGTCTGTCAATGGATGTACCGAGTGATGGCTGACAACTTTATCTCCCTGGGGACGTTGCTGGATACTGTCTCTCCTTCTACCCTATGCAGTGACAACTGATAATATAGTCTCACAAGAGACACTGACTCTATTCAATGATACCGAAAGCGCCATGTGTGCTGACCTCCATTTTAGGATAACATTGTAAGATTTAAGTCAAAATGTGTTGACTGTAGATAAAACTCCGATAACTAAATAGAAATTAGCATTTATCTTATCTTTTTTCTTCTTCGAATCGTTACAAAAATAGATCGTGTCTTTCCTTTTTTTTAATCTACAATGCAAAATTCATTTCGTTAATTTATTTTTTACTCGATTTTAAATAAAAGTTAAACACGTCAAATGCATATTTTCATCCGTTTGTTAGTAATTATAAATGGTGGCAGATTTTTTCCCTATTTTTTTAAATTAGTAGGAATCACTTTACGTGTTAATCTTTCCAACTTCATTCTCAAGAAAAACACCTTCTCCATTATAAAGTTAATCCTATCTTTTCCCTTCACTAAGCACACTATTAAACAAGCTACAATATACTGTACTTCGTTTCATTTCTGTTTTAACAATCTAAGTTTTTTTTACAGTTTTTTTCGTATCTTTTCCAGCCTCACATCCAACGACGGCGGTGCTCAGGTGCTTGATATAGCACATCACGTACCTTCACAACAATCGATCAGCAAAGCAGTCTGGCCGTAGAACCTTACGTTATCCAATTTTCCAATCGCTAAATCAGATCTTCGCTACAATCTCTTGACTGAACCGGTAAGACAGTTTGTCGCTTTTCATTCTATATTGTCACATTTTTACCTGTCTGTGCTATTTTACTTGTTATAAACACATATTAAACGTTGTAGTAAACAATGAATTAAGTAATTGTTAAATTAATTAATTTCTCTTACAAAGATCCCGAATCATCGTCTACATCTTCTTCGCTGTTTACACGACGATACAAATAAATTATAGATTTATAAATAATATATTAAATTCTAATATATTTAAAATATTCTTTTATTTTTCTATGAGTTTTTAAAATATAATAATAAATATTTAGAGCATAAAATATCTTCGAATGATTTTAGAATAAAAATTCTAGTCATACATTTTGACTTTTGTATTATTCATAAAATTACTAAAGAGGAAAAAATCGTATTTCCTACTCATATATTTTTCCACATTTAATAATTTCTTTAGAATTTTCGGAAATTTAGTAAATTCTTTCCATTGTATTGTTCTGTTTCAGACTTCAGAAAAGAAGGAAGAAAAGGGAAAAAATTAAGATTAAATACAATGAAATTCTATATACGTTAGGAATATTCTCGACTAAAATTCTGTGCCAAGAATTTTAAATAAATGCGATGAAGCTGGGAAAAAATGGGAACATTTCGTTCAGTGAAATTCCTTACGTTCTATGGATGACTATCTGCAATGCTAATCATACTCTGTGTCTGCCAAAATCACGCCAAGAATGAGCAGATGTCAAGAAGGAGATAGACAGACCAGCACAGCTTGGCACCTCCCTGCTTATTCTTTATAAAACTTCCTCCTATCAGCAGTTGCTCATATCCAGATTCTTTCGAAAAAATAAATAAACTTATGGTTTATTTAAATATAAATGGATGTTTTCTTTAAGTATTGGCACATAAATTTTGAATATTTAAAATAATCTATAATACTTGGCGATATTTTCCAAAAATACTCGGAACCGAACGTGATTAAGTTGTAAAAAGGACTCTTTTATAGTTTTATTAGCATTTCTCCATCCTTTAAATGTAAAATAGATCATTATAGTGAGGTTGGCATGTTCTCATATCGATAACGATTTTTAGTTTTGGTAGTGGTCATGGATTGACCCTCTCTTATGACAGAAATAATGTGGTAGACCGCTAACCATGGCATCCACGGCATTTGGGATAAAGTGAACTTTAATAAAATACCGAAGCTTATAGTCAGAATCCACATGCTTTAGGATAGAAAAGTGGAGAAAAATTTTGAAAGTAATTGAAGTTTTAGTGCAGTGACCCACTCGGTCTGATAAAATTTCTGTTGAAACCAACTTGCCAAAGATTTAATTAAAACTGGACAATGTTGGGGCGGGATCTCTTTGATGTATGGACCGAGGGCGGGAATATGGGTGCTGACTGTCCAAGTTGGAATGTCCAAACCCAATATACAGTTCACATATAACAAAGCATACGAAGCGGAATGAATAGTTTTCCTTTACAAAGAAGGCATTCTCACTTTATATATATATTTGTGCGAGTGTCGGACAAAAAATAAAGTAATTTATCCTCTTGTACCCTTTAGCTCATACCTGAAATTGCTGGAAGGAAATTTAATTTATAATTTCTTTACTTTAGAATGAATGCACAAAATAGAAATTTGCGAGAGCTTCTTCTCCTTTTATCATTTCACAACGAAAATAAAGCACAAGTCAAGGTTAACACAAGCCAAGTTATTTTATTATTAAACGTAAATTACTAGTTTATAAAATATTTAACTAATTTATTATTGATACATTGTAGTATAATGTTATAAACTGATAATAAATTGATTACTATTGACGTTTCATCCAATTATTGTGTTCATTTGAATACGCTTCCCTCAATCATAACTTGCGTCTAAACGTTCGAGATATTACATCAGTAAGTTAATGTAATTAAGTGATAACTACTATTATAATATTGCTAAATGCCATTCCCGTCTAATTGTTGTAAATTTTGTAAAGTTAGTAGAAAGTATGTACATTTATATATATAAATATATATATGTTAGGCAACGAGTATCGAAGGGAACAGAATTTAATTATTTTTGAGAAAATTTAATAGAGATTTGGTAGCACGTAGTAGAGTGAGAAGAAAAAATTAACTGGTTGAAGAAAATTAAGAGAAAAATTGACTTTATTTCTTCGGGCGCTCCGCATCTTATAGACTCGAAGGAATTGTGGAAAAATGGGGGAAAAACTATTTGCGTCCGTGTCGTTGCCATGGACACCACGTCAATTATCTCGTAACACCATTAGGATCTGTAGCTTACTGATCTGTGGACTTGACAGATTTAATTGCTATTAACCCATCTTAGGCAATCCGATAGACTGTTCAAGAAGTGTTGGTACAAATCCTCGAAGGACGAAGCGAGAACAGATTGTTTGGTTAACAAAATTGTGTTGATACGTAAAGAAATTTCATGATAAACAACTCTGATGACAAGTGCAAAGAAAAAAATAATCGAAAAAAAGAATAGAAATCGATCTATTTAGAAACAATTATAAAGCGGGATTCTTTCCTGTACGGTCTCGGTGTACTGCGTAAAGAAAGCTTTACAGGGGAAACGAAGTATTTTTAGAAGCTGAAAATCATCGTTAAAGTAGCAAATTTGTCAAGATTCTCTCATAAATATAGAATTACTTTGCAAGATAAATTGCAGCAAAATTCATTTTTCTTCAATGAAAATATAGGTATTAGAAGAAAACTACGTTCTACTGATTGAATGGAATCTCATAAGCTGATTGAGGATTTGAAACATTATATCACTTCAAAACAAAAATGAACTGAAAAAGGGTTTCATATTTTTTTGTTATTATAGCTTTTTGTTTATAGTTTTGATATTAGTTGCATTAAACTAGTTAAAACCACAAAATCTTCGGATTACCGTGGAAAGTCTTATTTCTCTCGTGTTACTCCTGAGAGATCACATTTTTACTCCAGAAAAACTTTCTTTAATAGCAAAGTTCGTTCTTGTGTTACAGACTGACTTGTATTTCTAACAATCTTATCGTACTTTAAACTTTGATTTAAACCATTAAAATTATCAAATAAACAAGCAATCAGAGAACGAAATTATAGAATAACCTGTTTATGTTATCGCAGACAAAAGTGAAGTTATAATTTCGATTTTTACGATAGATTTAATAAATTTTTTATCTCAAAAGTGACCATATTTCTCATCCAGGTTTTTCAGAGGATTAAACAAGATCCAATATTAGATAAATAGAATAGACTCGCTCGCTCTCTCTCTCTATCTATCGCTGCTACTAATATTGGATTTAATGTAATCCAAACCAGAAATTATTATTATTTTTTTTTATATCTCCTAGTAATTTTCAGAACAGGCCATTCAATCAATTTTTCTAGTAATTTTGTTTATGTTGGATATTTAATAAATAAGTTTACGTTGCTAGCCAAATATGGATTTATAGTATGTACAGTTTTGGCAATACATTGAGATGAAATTAGTTCCCAACTTTCTGTTCCAGCAAATTACTGAGATCACCTCCGTTACGGCATACAGGTCGATGGCACGAAGGTTGTCATGGTAACGGGGGGAGGGAAATTATTGAACGACCTCTTTCGGAGGTTGCATGTGATGTATGAAAATCACTTTTCCAGTCAATTTCGAAAGGGACAACTATTGTCAAGGTGTACCACTTCAGTCGTGTACAAGAATGTAATAAATTTCTTCGTTCTTTTTAAAATACCTTTTCCGGCGAAAATGTTGCACCTCTTTTTTTTCCTTCCCTGTCTCTTCCTATCCTTATAACTAGATACATCCACTATATTTAATGATGGATAGTTATCGATTTTTTTACCTATATAAGTGCGCTTAGATTGGTAATACTTGAACGGTTTCATTCACTTTTCCAGATATTTTATGCAGATATCATTCTCTTAAATGACATTTTAAATAAAATTAAAAACACTATCCTCTTCTTCTTAATATTTTTTTCCCTGTTCATTTCCAGATGAAAATTCATCTATAGTGGATGAAAGTATGTGACAGATAGCTAGAAGGGAGAAGCGAAAAAGTCTAATTTAAAATTATTAAAGAAAGTAAAGTTATTAGAAAAATAAATTAAAATTTTACAAAATGTCTTGTTGATTAATTTAAATTATATAAGAAATGATTTGTTGAAGGGGAAAAATAATTTTCGAATTTATTATTTTTTCATTAGTTAAAGTAAAGACATTTTGTAAAATATATATTCGAAATATATTAATTTTGAATTAAATATGCGAAAGAAAATAATTACGTAGATTACTAAGAAGGATTAGAATCATATAAACTGTCAAAATAAGTTACTAACCAACAAAATTATTTTATTATCTTTGTTTACGTAGATGCACTTCTAAATTAAAGAAACACAAGGGAAAAAATTAATAATAATAAAGCGAATACATTTATTTAAAATTTAATTAAAATACTGAAAACATTATTTTATTTTTATTCAATTTGAAAATTTTTAAATTAAAATTTGAAAGAAAACGTTATATAGATTATTAATTAAAAGTTAAATATTTGACGTGGACATTATTTTGATCATTGCTTTGGATGAGAATTTCTCAACTTATACAAAAAATAACGAAAGATTAATGGATATATTTGAATTTTAGTAGTTTCTATAAGAGAATTTACGTGAAAATATTTATAAATCATTCATTTTTGAGAAATTTCGACGTTAAAGTATACTTAGGTAATACATTAAAGTACATTGATATACATATAATTATTTATTTATACACTTATTTGTGTATATATATTCGTATAAATAAGTTTTCTCATAAAAACTATTAAAATTTAAATATTTTCCATTAATTTTTTCTTATTTTTTCTATATGAACGTCCATATCCTCAACAAAAATAAATGATCAAACAATAAGATAACGAATATACATAACTATTTATGTATGTATATACATATATATTTGTTATAAAATTATAAAGTTTTCTAGAAATAGCATTTTCCTTCCAATTTATAAAATTTAAAAATTATTTTCTACTGAAAATAATTAATTTTTTTAGAAAGTTTGTATTAAAGATTTATATTTTTATCAAAGTAACTTAACGACTTCACATAAGAAGAGTTATCAATTTATTTATAACGAGATAGAATATTAACAAATAATTTTAAAAAATATAAAAATAAATATAACTTTTTTATTTCTAAATTTATAAAAGAAGGTGAAAAAATTTGCAGAAAAATAATATTTTCGAATAATAAATATCAAAAATTATACCAAAAAAATACTTTATAATTTTGTGAAATTTTTATATAAATTAATTAAATTAATCATTTAAATAATAAAATTATTCAACAAAATATATTCATTTATATAATACATAAAAGAATAAATTTATTACTATTATTTTTTAATAAAAAATTCTCTAGATTTTTGTTATTAAATATTTTAAAAAAAGAAGCGAATTAAATTATTAAATTAGAATTAAACTTGTGTAGAAAATTATCTTGTTATATAAAATAATTTAATAAATACATCCAACAAATATTGTAACAATTTATTTAAAATATAGTGAAATATTTTTAGAAAATTGGAAAACGCCCCAAAAATAATTTTTTTTCCTATATATTTATATATATATATTTGTTGTTCTAGGGATTTTTTAGAATTTCTAAAAGAGTAAAGGGAAAAAAGACAAGATAAATGATAGGAAAGGAAAATATTTTTCCAAAACATCCTCCTTTAAAAATCTATAAATAACATTAATTTCTAAAGAGAAGCGTAATTAATTTTGTTTCAATAGTAGATGTTAAATTTATTTTTAAGACGTTTACTTCGATCTTAAAGAGAATAATGAAATGAAATTGTAAAGAGAGAACAAAAGAAAATTATCATTTTGTTGACATTTACTTTAGAAACAGCAATAAACGCATCACAAATGGAAAACCCTTTCGGATAAATTGAAATTGTTAACAAGCAACTTGATTAATCTTCAAAGCAATTTTATTGAAGTGGAGTATGAGGTCTGTAATCTATTTCTCCTTCATCAAAAATAAATGTCTTAGATCGGTCTTTAGAAATTTTGAATAATTAATAGGTGAAAGGTAATTACATTTTGTAACGAAAGTTATAGAAAATGTGAGGATCGATAATGGTCATTTTATCAATCGAACTCTATTTAGTGGTCAAATAAGAGCTGAAGAAGATCGAAAAAAAGGTAAAAAGATTCTTCTTTTCCCTTTTTTTCTTCTTTGTTAAACTATCTAATCAAGATATTCTTTTAAAATATCTGAGAATTTTTATGTTAAAAATAGAAAGATTAGTTTTGTGTTTTAAAAAACAATTATAATTTTCTACCTTTATATTCTTTATTCCTTTCGAGTTTTTAGTGATTTTAACTATATTATCTTTTCTCCTTCTTTTTTGTTTGTTAAAATAACTTTCTTGAATTTTAAATGAAATATTCTTAAGGTTCATTTCACAATTTTAATATTTCTTTTATCCTAATTTCCTTCATTTTTACTTTCTTCTATCTTAATTTTTCATCGTTTTTTCCCCTCCTCTTTAGTAATGCTAAATTTTTCACTTTTTATTTTAATATTATCACAAATTTTCAATATTTTTTTTCATTAAATGCTACAATATAGATTTTTTTTTCAATTTCCTTAACCTTTTTTCTGTCATAATTTTCTGTATTTTAATTATAACTTTCATCTTTTGAATTTAACAAGTTCAT